GAAATGCTAGTAAGGATTTAAGCCGGTACTCTTGTAACCTCTGCTGTGCAAACAGGAAAATCAGATCAATCACAGATTGAAGGGAAAGCTTTGTTTCATGGGTCTCCCAGTCTGTCTGGTGTAAGGCGCAAAGCCGTAATCGTTTCCGGCAGCTTTCTGGCATCAGCTGTTGAAATTCCGAGGTCCTAACAGTTATGACACGTGCGCCGCTCCATACAGCGATTATCTACTTTGGGAGGGAAGGCTGTTCAGGGGCAGCTGGAGGGAATTGGTTAGGGAGCTGGCCAAGTTAGTAGAAGTGAACACAATCAGAAGGCACCCAAAGACCTCTGACATCTCTGTAAATATTTTCTTGTAACTCTGTTTCAGCACACACAGTGATTTCTGTCAAGGAAAACACAGCCAAGATTCTGTTCATTCAGGGAATTGTTATTCGTCAAAAGGCATTAAGAATGCCCATGAATCCCAGCGCTAAAACAGACATAAATTAGGACTGCTTGAAAAACAATGATCAGAATGACTTCATTTAAAGTTGAGACTGCAATTATTAAAAGAGGGATGCATGTTTCTGTCATCTTGATCATGTCTCAGCCTTGTAGGGTGTCAGTTTTTGTTATGAAGGGTGGGAAAAGATGAGGTCAAGTTAAAAGAAAGGCAGATGCGAAATGTAAATATTAGGTCAGAAGTCAAATGTGACATGATACTTTGAATGCGGAGTATAATGTGATTTTTAGAATCCCCGTATACCAGTATCAATATCCAAATTTAAGTCTTAAGTTAAGACAGTTGTCTTCTTCTTGTGTATTGTCTTTAAAGATAAAAAAATATGATTAATTGCAGCACCCTACCAGAAACACACATGGGAAGGTGTGTATCTTTGTCCAGGATTTGGGGTTTTGAAATAAAGGTCTGAAAAATAAAATAAAAAATTCAGACGTTGCTACGTCCAATTTTTGCAGGAATCAGAGTTTTAATGATGGAATTAAAATGTATTCAAAAAATTGGTTTTTAAAAGTAATCTCAAGTCTCAGTAGGTCTGAGACTTGTCAGAAACGGGCTTCGGAAGGAATGAGATCAATACAGTGATTCTACACATATCATATGTTACAAAATAGCAAACAGGTCCTCTCACCTGGAGACAATATCCTCTACTGATCACTGACCAGTCTTCTGAAATACAGCTGTTTCTCTTTCTCCCACAGGAACAAGTTTGTGGAGTTTGACATGAAGCCGGTGTGTAAGAAGTGCTATGAGAAATTCCCCCTGGAGCTGAAGAAGAGACTGAAAAAGCTGTCTGAAACTGTTGCAAGGAAGTAAAAACACAGTGGAGCAGCTGGAGAGGGAAAGATAGACGAGACCGTGAGGTGGCCGTGTACAAGCCCAGAATTAAAATATAGAATTTGTGTGTTTTGCAACTGCTATGTTGCATTTAGGTTGGTTATAGCTAGAAAGCATTGCGCTTTCAATTTCATGTGCCTGCAGCCGGCAGCTCCGCAGTCACATTGTCGGTCTGACAGCTTTAACATTGTGCCTTGTACCATTTTTGCAGAATTGCTCCACTGTGTGTTTTACACATGCCTGCTAATTTCCTGTATTTAAAAAAGTGACATACGAGTTTTAAGAGTACATAGAAAGCTGGAGGTAATATGATGACTTAAAAGCTTTGCCACCACCTTGTCTTGTGATGCCAAAAAACCTTTATTGAAAAATATTACTGCTTCATTATTATAACAATCAAGTAAGCCCAAAGAAAGAAAATGTCCTAAATGTGTAAATAACCTCAAATATTTCCAACTTGTATCATTTTATGTAATAGTAGTGTTTATTTCCATTAATATTATGCATAATAAGTATTTTGTCTGCCTTTTTCTTTGTTTTTTGGACCTACATTTTAATATTATACAACATGCTACAGAGGTGGACTCGACCATCACCTGCAGTATGTTGGATTGCCTTGTTACTGTATGTGCTATGCATCTTTGTGTGGCATGATCTCTGTGCAAATTGGTATTTATTCTGCATTTTTTTAAGTTTGCGTTTACAATCTGAATTAATTCAATACAGCCAAAGTGCCGAGGGCGAAATTTTGATTTATTAAATACATGTGAGTGAATAACTGTTACCTGTCAGTGTTCTATAAAACCGATGTGCTGTCAACAAATATTGATCATAACAAGCGTCTGAGCCACAGGATTTATTGAATGGTTACTGCAAACTCACTGTGTGTTACAACATGACGGCTTGTAGCATGTACAGAGACCGGATGTGGGATTGATGTTGAACATTTGAACGTGTCCTTTGTTGTTTGTAATCCAGGGAAAGTGATCCTCTTAGGGAGGTGTACCGACTTCCTCGGGGCTCAGACCCACTTAGGAAAGAAAGCCAAACTGGTCTCATTCTTGCAGAATGCTTCACATGAGCTGCATTTTATCACAAAGCTTTGCTTAAAATACAAGCTCTATAGATAAACACATTCCACTATTTTATCATTATAAAGTGTATGTTACTGCTGTGCATTTCAGTGCAGATGGCACAACTTTCTCTATGTCATATAGAAGTGAAACTATCCGCTGGGCTGATTGTTGTGAGGCAGAACTTCGGCACCTCGAGCCACAAATAGTTCAGTGCATGGTTTTATTTGATACTTTACTACTCTGATGGACTGAGATGACTCTGTGCAAACAGATACTGCTCTGATACTGGATATCATCATTGCAATGTTTGCGAGCAGATTTATTCATGTTAACACACCAAAGTGCATGTTGTCAACTTGAAATTTGGAAAGTTGTTTCTTATTATATTTAATGTCGTTCTGACACGTCATCGGAATAAACACATATGCCAATGCTACCTGTGTGTGTGTGTGTAGTTTATTTGGTTTACAGCTTCTTACCATTCTCGAAGTGTAACGTGAAACCAGCAGCAGGCTCAGGATTCACAAGTGTTGCGTAATGTTTAATGACACCCCAATTTTCACATATGTTGCATTCGGGTCCACGTTAAATGGGAACATGCTTGATTTTTACGTTTATCAAGTATATTAGCAGCATCTCCACATTCTCATATACACGCACATATGAAATGACTCAGAGGAATACTAATGGACATTATGCACATGTGTGCAACACTAAACAGCCATTAGCATCTGCAGGATAGTCAATATGACAATCTGAATAATCTGAAGCAGCATCCATCTAACTTCAGAAGTTATTAAGAGCACAAATCAATAGAGTTCAAGACAAAATTGTTGGCTATATCCAGATGTTAGCTAACTCTCAGTCACATTCAGCTAACAGAAAGTAATTAGAAATACAACTGCAACATGTTTGACTATTAAAATACCAGTTCAAAACATAAACTGATAGAATAAATATTTATTACTAGAATTATGCTGTAAGTTTATACAATGACAATCATGCAGAGTATAACACTTTTGGGAATAAAGTTAAAGATAAAAAAAATACAGGAAGATTAATCAGTGCACAATATCAACTAAAGAAAGGCAACATCCAAGATGATACATACTTACAGACAAAAGAACATCAGTTTTATTAATACATATCTTCAGAGTACACCAGCTGGAGTATTTTCATTTATATTCTACCTCCTTTTGCCTTCAGCAATGCCCTAATTCTCTGTGGCATGAATTCAATAAAGTTCTGGAAACATTTCTGTGAGATTTTGGTTCATGTTGAACACAACACTTGAGACTGCTGCATTTCAGCAATACTGAGTTGGTACAAAAGGGCCCCAAGTGTGCCTACAATTACCATTACAGCATCACAAGAATCAGAATCTTTTTTATTGTTGTTGTGCAATGGAACATTGAAGACTTTTCTTTTTCTGACTATTGTTAGTAAATCCTAGATGTGGTTATCAAAGGAGCTTGCAAAGAAAAGCGTCTGGACTTCTTTAAGTTACTTGAAGACGTTTCACCTCTCATCCGAGAAGCTTCTTCAGTTCTAAGGTCAAATGGTGGAGAGTCCCAGATATAAACCTAGTGGGAGTGTCCCCTCACAGAGGGACAAAAGGACCCCCTGATGATCCTCTAATCGCCTGAGCCAAGGTGTGAAACTGGGTGTGGGCCAGAGTTTCGGGTGAGTTCATTGTGAAACCTGGCCCCACCTTATCATGCGAATTCCTGAGGTCAGATGGCCCAGGATGTGAGTGGGCGTTAAGGTGTCTGGGAAGGGATCTTGGCTCCCACTAGGTTTATATCTGGGACTCTCCCCCATTTGACCTTAGAACTGAAGAAGCTTCTCGGATGAGAGGTGAAACATCTTCAAGTAACTTAAAGAAGTCCAGACACTTTTCTTTGCAAGCTCCTTTGACTACGATGACCTGGATGACTGAGAACCTTCACAGACACCTAGATGTGGTTATGTGTAAAAATCCTAGTAGATAATCAGTTTCTGAAATCATACTCAGTTGACTCCATCTGGCACCAACAACCACGTCACATGCAAAATCACCCAAATCACGTCTCCATTCTGATGCTCAGTTTATAATGGGTGATGAATGTGTGTGTAGCAGATAAAGTTCAAATGGGCAGTGCATATCACAGCTTTTCCTCTGACAACTGCTACTCATTCACGTGTGCAGAGGTTTTGATGAGAACACTTTGGAATAAATCAGGTGACTAAAAAATGTTCTTAAAAACAAAATACTTGACTGAAGCTTAACAACAGAAACAAACAGGAAAAATCTGCAAAGGTATAAAATTACTTACATGCCTATAAAAATGGGCATGATATAGCATGATTTGTTTAAGTTAATAGTATTGGTTACACATATACAGGGTTTAAATATCTGTTTGTTTAATTTAATTTATGTAACAAAAGTTAGCCAAAATATTTATCAAATTAAGGATTAAGGCTTAATTGTTGGAGAAATTAGGATTTTCAGGTATTTGTAACAGAACCCTTCAAACTGAAATGCGTCAGTCTGCGTCAAACTGAATTCTTGTTCTCATTGGTTAAGAAGTCACGTGACAGCTGCCATTTGACGGCATTGAGACTGCGCAATACCATCATGGGGAGTTTACGTCAGGCGAGCTGATGTTCGCGTCAGTTTTGTTTTAAATATTTAGTGAATTTCTGGTTTTCTATGTGTCACATTCAGCCGCTGTAGAAGCCCCTGAACTTGGAAGCTATGCGGCGAAGTAAGGCTGAAGTGGACCGTTACGTTTCCTCTGTACAGAGTTCCTCTCCCTCACTCAAAGAGGTAAGTTAAGCCCGCCGAGGCTAACGTTAGCATGCTGCTGCCATCATGTCAGATCAGCCGGTATGAGGTACGACCTGTTCACATGTTCAATGAGCACTCGTTGCTTTTTAAATTATGATGACGGTATTTCGGTTGACTCATATGTCGTTCTCTGTATAACCCCCGTCCCCGGATAGTCTTAAAGACTATACCTAACCGGCCGGCGTGATGACGCCCCGTCGTGTCCTCCCCTTTATACTCGGGAAAATGCGCGGCATGGGATCCCTTGAACAGCGCCAGCTAATCAGCTATGCTAGTTAGCCACGACAGCGAGACAAAGCTAGTTGGATAGGGTGTGCAAGTTTCATTTCTCTGGAAAAGCGAGGTTTCGGTTCAGAAAACAATTAAAAATGTTCGTTGCTTCATCGTATCAGGAGCAGCAAGCCTAACTTTGTTGAAAAACTGGTGGTTTTAGCTTAATTGCAACCAGACTTGTCTGTTAATCAGGCACAGTTCCAAGGTTTCTTGATTTGTTTTCGTTCTTTTTAAGCATTGTTTATTCGTTTATTTATTTGGATCGCATGTCACGGGGGAAACTGTTACACCCACAAAAAATCAGAATATTTAATGAGAAATAAATGCAGTGTAAGAAAACATTGAATGCATCAGAATTCAGGCTTATCAACAGTCTGAAAGACGCTTAACTAATAGTGATTAGTTCGAAAGTGTACTGAAAGGACAGAAAATGCAGAAATATATGTTAGTGTTATTATGAGATCGTGATAATTTGTTTTGTAGATATCCTTTTAATGTTGCAGCTGAAAATGTTGGTTTAATTGCTTATACATATCTACACCTACACCATGGCAGCATAATATGCTAGTCGATCAGTCAATTACTTGAGTAAATGTGGTGCTATGTGGTCAGTGGTCCTAACCATGCTCTCAAGTTGCTTTACCTAGTCAGAGTTTTGTTTTTGCGTAATTCCAATGATATTTTGGTCTTACATCAAAGTAAAGTCATCAGGATTGTGTTGTTTTTTTTGTTTTTTTTATTGATGTAGTGTGTGTGGTTTAATGTACTCAAGCCTAGAATACACTTTGTGTGCTTAAGATCAAAAGTAATTAAAAAAAATGCACGGCCCTCTAGAATAGAATAAACCTTTATTATCCCACGAATGACAAATTTGGGTGTTACAGCTCTTAGAGCAAGGGGAATATAAAGTATAAAAGGAAGACACAGAGTGGTCCTACATACATAAGCAACTGAAGTTCGTGTATATATACAGGTAACAATGTACAGAAATATGTATTGGTAAAAGTAAAAAAGTTAGGCCACACAGACTCTGTCTTAATAATTTGTGGTCCCGTTGTGCTTACATGCATAGTCACCCTCCCAGAGGCTTGTTTTCAGTCGGGAGAAACCTTGGTATTGTAAGATTAACAGTCTAGCCCAATGGTATTTGTAGAGTTGCACCAGTAAAGCCAAAAATGTAGTTTTGTTTGACAATAGATTCACACTACTACACATACCTGCAAAATGTCTCCTTGTGCATTTTGTTGTGTACAGTAGTGTGTGTAGTCTGGTGACATTTGCCTGAAGAATTAAATCACAAGATTGGGTGTCATGCTGTTCAGAGCTTAAACCTGTATTCTCATCAGCAAAATGCATTCCTAAACAAACATACAGAAATTAAATGTTTTTGTGATTTGTAAGTAAAATTTAATTATGAATAGACGGGAATCTATTTTTAAAAAGTGCGTTACAGGGATTTTAAAAATACATCAGACAAAAACAACGTATTGCACAAGAGCATTACCCAAATGCCTGTCTAAATAGATGAATTTTCAGCTGTTTTTATTTTTCACTATAAAGAAACCAAAGAGTCATAGTGCATAGAGGGGGAGGTAAACAGTTCCACAGTTTTGACACTAAGGTTTGGAAAGCATGATCCCTCTTTGTTTTGAAATGGGTCTGTGGAATAGCCAGAAGAGCACTATCTACTATCAACTTATTCTGCGTTGTTCACCTGACACTGAAAAAGTCAGTGATAATTAGAGCAGGGCGATATGACCAAAAATATTTATCACGATACACATATGAAAATTTGCGATAACGATATAATTGACGATATAACTGACACTAGACAAAATACTTTACAACTCCACAACTTTATTAGTGCAAAAAAAAACCATCAATGTATTTTCACTTAAACAAGCAGCTGTTTTTTATGTCCATTAAAGTTATATAAAAATTTAACAGTGCAAATTCCTTGCTGACAGTTTAACCAAAAGGCATTTCCAGTGGAAATTGGCCGACATATCCTCAGCATAACCATGTATAATAT